TCTTCAAAGCTTTTACGACGAATGATAGAATTTTATTTTCTGTTATCTTGCCCTTTTTTACGTTAATACAACTCTACACAGTAAACCTCTACCTTGAGTGGCCCTTGGGCCTTCTATTCGCTGGACATTAGTAAGAAACATCTCTTATCAGTCCTCTTCAAACCTTTCTTTTTTTGAATGTACTACAGGCCTTCCTAGATCTTCAAAGCTTTTACGTCGAATGATGGAATTTTCTTTCCTTCTCACTTGCCCTTTCTTACGGTAATACGCATTGATATTCATAAAGCTTTCGGCCTCTTCACGAGTAAACACCGGTTTACGTACTATCAATAGTCAGGTCACTACCTGGCGCTACTGGTACTATTCATCTCAATACTACTTTATTCATAGTCTAATTATCGGTGACTACACCGTTACCTCCACAGATTTTCTTTTTCTGTGAGGAGTCTGGCTAGTCACCCTGCAGGATTAAATACAATACCTGTTTATATGACGGGGAAAGCTTTTTGTTCAACGGCCATCTTACACAATTAACCTGGGTGTCTTGGACTCCACAATTTTTTTTTGTTTTTGTTTCCCCTATGCTTTGGCTAAGAGAAGGACACTCTGTAAAATCTCGAAGCCGGTGCCTTCACTGTCATCGCTCCAGCTTACTAGTCCATGACAGATCGAATCTCGGGTGTAAAGGGTGAGGCCAATCATTTCCAGGCCCTGTAGTCATGTGAGGGGGTGCGAAAATGGCAGGTGGAAGATGACACTGAAGGTCGCAGTCCCAATCCCGTATGCAGGTTGGTCAGGATATTTGCAGCCTGATGTTGACCTGGAGAAGACAACATCGTTCGGCAACACCCTGATTCACCAGACTATCTTCTAAAGTGAGAGCACTGCTTACTTCATATGCAAAGGTCGCCTAAATAAAGCTCATCGCCTATATTTCCCAGTTGGTTCACCGTGGTCAACGGGTCTCTTCTCATGCAATCGAACTTCAGTAAAGAAAAGCTTCACACCCACCTGTAAGGGCATCAAAAGACTACATGAAGCATGCTGGAGCATCAGTACCATGTTGGACACACCCGACAGTGGTCAACCAGAACATCGCTCTGCTCTAATTGTAAATGAATTGTCAAAACTAAATGTTGACATCGCTGCTCTCAGTGAAGTCCGTTTCCCAGAGGAAGGCAGCCTACAAGAGCATGGCGCCGGATATAGCCTCTACTGCTCAGGCAATTCAGTACTGGAGAAGATTCCATTGCCTCCAAGTTTGAAAAACTACCATCAGTTTATTCTGACCGCATCATCTCTATGCGCCTCCCACAGAGTAATCTTCAATATGTCACACTAATTCGTGTGTACATCCCAACTTTACAAGCAGATCCTGTGGAAAAAAGATAAATTTTACTCAGATCTTTGCAGCCCATTACGAGACACCCCTGCAGATGATAAGTTTATAATCTTTGGTGATTTTAACACCAGAGTAGGTTAAGATTTTGCGGCCTGGAAGGGAGTGCTTGGGAGACATGGTGTTGGTAACTGTAACTCCAACAGGCGATTGCTGCTAGAATTCTGCGCAGAGCATCAGCTCATCATCATAAACACCATCTTCCAACAGAAAAACTGATTGGAAATAACCTCGATGCATCCTCTGTCTAAATATTGGCACCTCATTGACTGTCATAGTGCACCGGTGTGACCTGAAAGACACAATGCTCACAAGAGTGATACCCAGTGCAGAATGTCGTACTGACCATCACCTTGTTCGCTGTAAACTCAAGCTCTACTTTAAAGAAAAGGGGGGCCCTCTGTAAAAAGTTCAAAGTTGTCAGTTTTAAATCAGATAAAGTGAAAGCTCACTTCTAAGCAGCACTTGAGTCAAGTCTTGAAGATGCGAGCATCTTCGCAAATTCCTCTCCTGAAGCACATTGTGAAAAGCTCAAAAACTGGCATTCTGCAGATATCTGTACAAGTCCTTGGGTTCTCTTCAAGGAAGAACAAAAACTGGTTTGATAAGAGCAACGTAGAAATCCAAGAACTGCTGGTGACGAAAGGGAACGACTCATCAAGCCAACTAAACCCAGCCAGCTTGTCCTGTTCTGAAAGCTGCATTCCGTTACGTATGCCGTGACCTTCAGCGCAGGCTTCGAGGGATTAAGAATGAATGGTGCATCAAACTCGCTAATTCAGCTGTATGCAGACATTGGAGACATGAGGGGCTTCTATGAAGCTTTAAAGGCAGTATACGGTCCTATGTATCAGGTCCAGAGTTCTATGCACAGCGCAGACGGTCAGATGCTCCTTACAAACAAGACGTTCATCCTAAACCGTTGGTCGGAGCATTTCCAGGCCTTTTTCAGTACTAATCGCTCGGTCCAGGAACCAGCAATTCTCCGCATACGTCAACAACCAATAAAAATGGAACTAGATGTGTTGCCCACCATTGAAGAGACTATTAAACCCATAAAGCAGCTCAATTGTGGCAAGGCAGCAAGAGTTGATGGAATCCCACCTGAAATCTGGAATCATGGACGTCCAGTGTTGCATATGAAACTCTTTTGCTGTTGTTGGGAGCAGGAAAAAATACCACAAGATCTCTACGATGCAGCCATCATTGCCTTGTACAAGAACAAAGGAGAAAAATCTGACTGCTCCAATTACCGAGGGACGGCTCTCCATCGAAGACAAGATCCTTGCAAGGGTTCTGCTGAAGAGGCTGGTACCCACCATCGCGGAACTGCACCTTCCAGAAAGTCAGTGTGGCTTCAGAACCAACAAGAACATAACAGACATGGTGCTTGTTTTCCAGGTAGCTGCAGGATAAGTGTAGGGGGCAAAACAAGAGGCTGTATGTGGCGTTCATTGATCTGACGAAAGCATTCGAATATTGGCGTTCGGATGTCTCTCAAAGTTCCTGAACATGATCATCAAACTGCATGAGGATCAGCGTGGCCAAGTTAGACACAACGGCGATCTCTCAGAGCCATTCTCGATCACTAACGACGTAAAGCAGGGTTGCGTTCTGGCAACGAATCTCTTCACTATCTTCTTCAGTATGATGCTCAAGCAAGCCATGAAACATCTTGATGATGAGGACGGAGTCTACATTAGATACCGTCTCGATGGTGGTCTATTTAATCTACGACGATTAAAAGCCCCAAAACCCTGGAACAACTTACTCGTGACCTCTGCTTTGCTGACGATACTGCCCTTGTTGCCTACACAGAAGGGGCTTTGCAGCGGACCACTTCCTGCTTCATGCCAAGAATTTTGGACTTGAAGTCAGTATAAAGACGACAGAGGTACGCTACCAGCCTGGACCTCGGGATGTATATAGCTCTCCCCACATCATTGTCGTAACTAAGCTGAATGCAGTCCATCGGTTTACCTACCTTGGATGTACCATCACATCGGATGCTGGGATCGACAAGGAGGTCCTCACCACTCTCCTATACGGCTCAGAGTCATGGGTCACTTACCGACATCACCCGCGACTCCTTGAACGATTCCACCAACGCTGGCTCCACACGATCCTTAATATACACTGGAGTGACTTTGTCTCCAATATTGAAGTTCTTGAAAAGGCGAAGATCACCCGCATTGAGGTCATGCTGCTAAAGTCCCAGCTGCGCTGGGCTGGACATGCTTCCAGAATGGAGAATCATCGCCTGCATAAAATTTTATTGAACGGTGAGCTCTCTATTGGCTATCGTGGCAAAGGGGCACCAAGGAAACTATTCAAAGATTGCCTGAAATAATCTGTTCTGCCTGTCACCTCAACCATTGCCAATGGTCAACCCTATGTGAGATTTGTGATACTTGGCGTTTCACCACCAACCATGCTATCTCCTCATTTGAAAATACCTGAAGGGCCGCTCTCAGGGACAAGAGGCGGAGGAGGAAGTATTGCAATGCCATCGAGCTCAGGTCAGACCTTTAGCTGCAACTACTGCAACCGAGTATGCCTGTCCCGCATTAGACTTATCAAACAGAAACGTGCCTGCAAGCGATGTGTACAGACTCCCTCGCCATCTTCGTTTTGCGAAGCCAAGCCATAACAATGACGTACGATCACCAAAGTTAAGTAACACCTACCCTGGTCGATACCTAGTTGGATGACTACTTGGCAATACAAGGCGCTGTCAGCTTGAATATACGGGTGGTGTAATGCATAATAGCCCGGAATTGTTAATCGGAGAGCCGAGTTCCAATTCCGGTTGGGTTCATTATATTCACTTATATGCTATTACCCTTAAGAAAGGTATGAATTCATCTCTTCTACTCCCCAGCTATGGGTTAATTAATAAGATTTGTATCACTAAAATCATTATTATCTACAAAAAATTCTTACACTCTAAAATATTTTCAGGTTCCTCGCCATTATAAAGCGTCGGAGGATATCATGATTTGACCACCTCACACGGTATAACATATTCTTCAAGACAATCATGCAAGGCAATGTTGAAAGCAGAGGCAAGATGATTTAAACCTGCAATGGGTTGATAAGCCGTAAAAATGTAGCAATCAATCAATGAAATACTGATTAGTTACACAGGTAAATATTTTAAATTTGTTTACATTATCTGGAATATAAATTTATAGAAACTACCGTTGCCACAAAGTGAGGGATCAATTTATATATTGATTTGTATTATAGAATAGACACCCAATTTTATATCCGTAAAAATCCGTAAATAAAACAAGTTTCTAGGTGCAAATAATTTTTCTTTAAATCGGGGCTGAGCAAACTACGGCCCGTGGGTCACATACGATCAGTCTGATGGTTTTATGTGACCCACAAAAGCACAACAAACATTTTTTTTTATAAGTTTCTTTAAACAAATGGTATTTTTAGTACTGTGTCTATTTTGGTCATAGAGGAAGCACATATAATGCAGCTGTAGCAGAAGATGTGGGTGTGTCTTGAGCAAGATAGGCTCTAAGGAGTGCAAGCTGGTTTGAATTTAGGGTTTTACTTTTCCTAGAGTGGTCACCAACCGAGGAACAAGTCAAAAGATAAATGAAAGAATAAAAGAACAAATGAAAGGATAAGGAGCGAATGTTAAGACAAGGAACAGATAAGAATGTAATGAACAAAGGAAATGATGGCAGACAAATTTATAGTGTGAGGAACAAAGGATAGAATAAGGAAGGAAATGAGAGAATAACGAATAAATGAAGAATAAAAGAAGAAATGAAAGGATAAACAACAAATGACAGAATAAGGAAGGAACGATAGGGTAAAAGGTATAAATGATACAATAGAGAACAAATAATAGGATAAGAAACAAATGAAAGAGTAAGGACTAAATTAAGGAGTAAGGACGAAATGAAAGAATATACAACAAATGAAATGATAAGAAACAAATGATAGAATAATGAACAAACAAGAATCCTTTATGAATTTAAGTTTCGCTTCATCACAAAATAAAATATGAGATTGTTACAGAAAAACGTAAAAGAATATTACTATTCAGTTATTTTCCCTACGTGATACACGCTTAGGCAATCATGTATTGAAAGATACATGACTGACGAGGCAGATGTTTTTCCCCGTAGTAGGCTGCCATTTCTTTCTGCGGTAGACCAGTTGCCATCCAAGGCTATAGAACCCAGTCTGTTCTGCTATTTACCCATAGCTGAGAGAAGAAGAAAAGGATTAATACCTTTCCCAAGGGTATTAGCGCATAAGCGAATGTAATGGATTCGACTGGAATTCGAACTCGGCTCTTCGATTCAGTTATGTGCCATGCGTGATACACGCTTAGGCAATCATGTATCTTTCGATACATGACTGACGAGGCAGATTTTTTTTCTTACAATAGGTTGCCATTTCTTTCTCCGGTAAACCAGTTGCCAACAAAGGCTATAGAATCCGATCTGTCCTGCTATTTACCCATAGCTGGGGGGAGAAGAAGAGGATTTTCCAAAGCTATTAGCACGTAACTGAATATAATGGATTCGACTGGAATTCGAACACGGCCCTCCGGTTCCTCAATCCGAATGGCTATCCATTACTCCACCGTGCCTAGTAGCACGCTTAAATTCAGAAAGTCAAGTTACCATAAAGTAAAGTTAATCCGAACAATTACCATTAATGTATTTACAAAAAAAAGTACAGGGAAGTTACATTACAGCGGTAGGAAAATGGCTGAAACTGAGATGCCAGGTTAGGGACAATAACATTGCAGATTCTGCTTTGGAATTTATCAAGTGCTTTTAAATAGATGGCAAGAGCACCAAACCAGATGTGGTAGCGTTTTTCTAAGCTTGGACGAATGGTAGACATGTAAATGGTTTGGATAGATTCGGGCAAGAAAAATTGTCTAGAACGGCACATTTAATGAAGTTTTCTAGTAGAAGACACCACAATTAATTCAGTATAATCTTTCCACATCATGTCAATGGAAAATGCTACTCCAAGAAAGCGCAACGAGTTACTCACCTGGAGGTTAGAATCAGCCATGATGATAGAAGGCAGAAAGGCTTCTCTCGGACGATTAATAGAGAGAAGATTCGTTTAAATTTAACAAGCCATTCATTGCCCTGGCTAACAACAGATTATAGGTCATTTTTTAGATCAGCTGCCGATATGACGTTATCAAACTGGTTAGATTTACCATTAAGACAAGAGTAAAGAGTTGTATCATCAGCACAGATACCAAGTTGAGAAATGATGATATCAGGAAAGGTAGTAGATGAAAATTAAGCATAACGTTATAGATAAAATGCTGAGAAGATTTTGATAATATCCACTCCGAGTAACCCACAGCTAGCTTTCATATTTCTGTCGACTTTCATTTTTCTGTCGACCTTCATATTTCTGTCGACCTTCATATTCAGTACAAAGAACAAGAGTTCACTCGAATAAGACTCCCAAAAAATTTCTATCCATCGCGTACATACGATCCATCGAAAAACGGTCTGTTCTCTGTACCACTCCAGTAAGTACCTGACTCCTTCTGATATTCTCTAGCTTTACAAGAGCCAGGTCAAGCCGAAAATGGAGTACTGCTGTTATATTTGGGCAGTTCCTGCCCAGTCCTTACTTTTATGTCTTGAGTTCAAACAAGCACTCTCTCACAAACGAAACATCACAAACCTGTCACTGCTCTATCGATTCTTCCATCGAATGTGCTCAATCGAACTATATTCTTTAGTTCCAACAGTTTTAACCTTCATGGCTCCTGGAGGATACCTGCACTAATGAAAAAAGACTTAGAAGAGTGGCCGTTCAAGGCGATTTTCATTTTGCGATTTGTTAAGAAAGAATGAATCAGTTCGAAAATTCGTCCAGAAATAGAATAATTGTTCAAGAAGAAAATGTGTTTAAACGATGAATAATAGAATAAGAAAATAATAGAATAACAAAATAACAGAATAATAGAAGTCAATCAATAGATTTGAAAAGAGTATTATTGTCAAATATATGTAAGACAATATTTATTGCTAAAATTGTTTCAATGATAAATAATTGGAATGAGAATAGTCTATACAATAACCATTAGT